CCGCTTTGAGACGACCTACGAACTAGGTTGTGATAAAGCTGTATACAAGAACCTCGAATTATTATTACTAAACTAGCTGCTGTAGCGAAAAATATCTTTGGTAATTTGTATTCGTAAGTATTGATACTGCATTATGAACACAATCGTTATTTGAACTGAAAAAAATAGATAAAGCTAGGAAAAGTACGAAAGAGGAAGAAGTACAATGGGCCATTTAAAAAGTCTCGAGATAATATTGACAAGGTGTTATGTAAGTGTTACCATATTTTGCTTCGCCGAAACCGCCACTTTAATCCAAGTAAATATGTGTAACGTCATGCCCTTGTAGTTGGAACCGATGAGGTGATCACGAAATAACAAGCTCGTGAGTTTCGAATTAATTGCGACAGCTAAACCCTAGTTTGGGGATGTTATTATCAAGAAAAGGATAGGAAAGTCGAAACGTGTCACGTGTATCATACAGCTTAGTAGTTAACCTTCCTTGTTACTCATGTTTAAAGTTCTAATTTAATATGACCTGATATCCAAAGAGAATTCAAATTTTCCTAAAAATATTTCTCAATGAGGTCCGTGAGTTCGATATAAATTAAGAAATATGAGAAAAAAATCAAACAAAATATGAAATTATTTATTATCAGTACCAGCCGTCATCACCATGGGTAGCTTAGTAACTGGTTTGACGGCTGATGGCTTTACCCACGTGGAGGCGAGTCTTCGGCTGGAGGAAGCAGGGGCGGACGTAGTGGGGCTCAACTGTTCACGGGGCCCGACTACCATGATGCCATTCATGAAGGAGATACGACAACAGTGTAAAGTATGTGTCATGTAATTACATCGTGATTATTTTCACTCAATAAATGACCATTAAACCCAGAAACATTCAGGTTAATTATAACCGCAGCTGGTAGTAAAACTAAATTCAAACCTGTATTCTTTTGCAAGAAAATACTTTCAGTCCAGATGTAATAATATTTCCTGTGGCGATGGTATAATTTACATGACCAATAAAGGGAATATTTTGTTTGAAGGGACCGATAGCCGCGTTGCCTGTGCCTTACAGAACAACTCCCACCCAACCAACCATGCAGTCTCTCATTGTCCCGGAGACAGGTAAATTAAATACGCCTTAGCCACATTCTGGCATTATCACTGATATTTTTTGTTTTACTTTTAAATTTAGATGAAATATCTTACGTACAACAGCTGGAATCCCATATATGGGTTGGAATAATTTTTCTACATTTCATTTTTGTATCGAACATTCATATATTCCTGCATTTTTTTAAATTTGAAATTGGGAGTAATAATTTAAAGATGTGATAGTAATGTGTAAGAATGTCCAGTACAAAGTTTGCCGGAACAATTGCCTTTACCCCAGACATATGTTTAGCAAAGGATAAAACCAGGTCTTTACTCATAGACAGTAGTTTTCACTTTCCTATGTCATACAGAAGTTCCATATATCATTCAGAAATATTTGTATTATATGTTTTACAGATAAATATGCCTTCCCGGTTGACCTTCCAGCGTTTACCTGCTCAAGAACGACTGTTCGTGACTTTGCACGGGAATGTCTGAAGATAGGCGTGCAGTACATTGGATTATGTTGCGGAAACAGTCCGCATTACATC